TAGAACAAACGTGATTTCTTGTGTGTGTGTTTGTTGCAAAATATTTACTATATACAATATTTTTTTTTGTACCTACATTCACTGGACACTGTTCTCCATTTTTTGATGTAGTGTCTAATGAATGATCTGTAGTGTGTATATTATTGACTAATGTGTGTATGATTTGAAAGCTTTGTTTGATTTTGAGTACAGGAAAAATGTTTTTTTAAGTTTGGGTATTGATTGCAATAAAAATAAAATAACTGTACTAACATAACTGTACTAAGTTTGGTTGAAATTTTGCAGGAAAATGCAGCTCAATATAGCAATCCACAGACACATACATGCATGTATATATATATATATATAGTGATATGAAAAAAGTCACATTTCAGTGACATCATTCTGAACACACAATGTTGATGTGGTCAGACCCTGAGAATGTTTCAAAGAAACAAGGAAACCACAGCTTTGTATCTCACCGCTGGAAAAAAAGAAAAGAAAAAGATCACAAATAAAACCCCAGCATGGTCAGAAACACACAAAACAGAAGTCGACTTGAGCTCTGTGCATGTCGTGTGCATAGTTGCAGTGAAACGGTTCACACTTCACTCTCAGAAGAGCGTTAAAGAGGAAGTTATTTCGGCCTACTGCACTGTTCAAAGGTTAATGGCGACAGGTCTAGCAGACGTGATGCAGAGGCAGAGCTGTTGTAAACTGGTACAATAATGATATGCTGACACTGATCCGCCAGAGCTGGATTGTATAGAGCCTCCCAAATGTACTTGTATCCATTTTATTGAGCTAATGTTTTTATTTAAAGGGACAGTTCACACAAAATTGAAAAATCTGCCATTTACTCACTCTCATGTTATTGCAAACCTGCATGACTTACTTTCTTCTGCAGAACACACACAACCAAAAAAAAAAGCTCATACTGATTTGGAATTAAATGAGGATGAGTAAATGATGACAAATGTCTCTGGTAATTCAGATAAGACTAAAGAATGCAACATTCTTAGAAATGTCAATACAAGGTCTTATTTTAATAAAGCATTTCTAGACAACCATAATTGTGAATTCAGTACTTGTTTGATGTTTTTAGACCTAAAAAAAAAAAAAAAAAACTAAGCTAGCGGTCTCATGAATCCAGATGTCTGGCAGGGATCAGTGTGTGTTACAGAGGCAAAGTTGTTTGTGAGCTTTACTTAAAGTGATTGTCACACAGAGGCAGTGTTGTTGTTGACAATTGTTCAATGATTGTTGCAGGAGAGCAGAGGCAGTGATGTTGTAAGGTACAGAGGAGAAGGACGCGGCAGTGGAAACATCTCAGCACACGTGACAGCTAAAGCATGACGGATGATTAGAAACAAATCTACCACTAACAGGGCTTCAAGACTGAGGTGCAGGCAAAAAAGGCATGAGGTTCTGTGTGAAATACTCAATGACAACATTCTCAATACTTCTGAAATGACATGAATTTCTTGTGGGCATTTAGCTAAAAATACATCTTGTATTCTTTGTGAGTCATTATGTTTGGAAATATAATTTTTTATTTAATAATCTGCTAATACTGTGTAGAGGGGGGGATGGGTCTCTGTGTCTTTTGACAGTTAACAATTACAAAATTAAAAGTAAATTAAGAAACAATATTAAAAAGCTACACAAAGGCATTTACCGCTCCTTAAAATCTGAGATCTCATACACATCATAAATGCTGCTTGTTTACATGAGATCCTTCATTTCTTTGCCAAAACTGCCAAGTTGATCATTGTGAATACGTCTCCAAATCATTTCCTCACTGGACAAAACTGCGTGTTAACCCCATCGTACGTCACATCTTGAAGTACACGCATCGTTTTCAGTGCTAGTGTGACGTGCCCATGTGCATGACGTGAACAGGACTGTCTTGGAGTGAACATAAACACGGTTAAGGTTGACCCACTGTTAACTCTTGAGAGAAAAGTTAAGTATTGTTCTGCATTCCACCTAAGACACAAGATTCAAATCTCATATTTCTGTCAATATAGATTTCATATATTCATATATCTTTTTTGTAAGAAAACAAAGAAACAGGACCAAAACAGCTGGAAAGTTCTAAATGTCCCTGACTTGTGGACATTTGACGTCCTAACATCCTTTAGCTTGCTTTAAGGGACTGAAATTTATAAAATAACATCACAGGCCCAAGAGTATGCATCCCTCAGATGAGGAAGAGATCTTCCCTGGGCCTTCACAGTTTGTGTGATGGGAGCAGAGCTGGGAAGACACAGTAAGGAGCCGCTTCTGCACACACAGGGCATCTGTTCTGCCGTCTTCACAAACTACCGCCACGTGAAAAGCTGCAGGGCTCTGGTAGTCACTGAATCACTGGTGGTTTTAATGACAGCGTGAGTTTTGAGCAGACTCGGCCTGTGTGTAACTCAATTGGTCTTCAGCTAATGAAAGCCGGCCAGATTTACTGTTCGATTCGGGTCCGGTCAGCCCAGATCAAAGTCTACCGGAATTCTGGTTTCTGGCGCTGGTCGGCTGTGGCTTATTTCTGGTTTCGAACCAGTTTCGTTCTGTACGGAGCCCTGTCTGGAGGTGAGACTCGGGGAGTGAGCTGAGGGGCTGCTGTGTGCGGAGTTGGGAGACAAACCGGGGCTGCAGCTTCCTGGTGGCGCTCCTTTTCCTCCTCCTCTCGCCCCACCGCCACCCTCCAGACCCTCCGAATTCTCCAGCATCTCCTGAATGAGTGGAGGCATGGAGCCGGGAATCTCCATTTTCAGAGTAATAACTCGCTCGGCTCCTGATTGAGAAAGAAATGTTCGAATGGATTCTGGTTGATTCAAACTTGATGATGTTCACAGAGTGACTGTGAATCTCACCTTTAGCGCTGATGCTCCTCAGGTCTGTGATCTTCATTAGCATCTTGGGGAACATATGTGGTTTATGAGGCCTCCTCTTTCTCACGTAGATCTTTAGGGCCTCCAGCAGCGGCTCCTGAAGCACATCCACCTTATCCGACTGCTCCAGATCCTGCCGATCTGAGCACAAGTGCACAGTGTTTTATAACATCAGCTAACAAAGCATCAGCTCCCACAAGCATAAAAAAGAACAATTTCATGAGTTCTAGAGAGTTTAAATTTGATTCAAACATTGTCTAAATGGAAGAAAACGGTATTATTATTAGATGATAATTCTAGCTGATAACTTATGAATTAGTATTCAAAATTAGTATTAAAAAATTCAAAATGAAAACCAAAAACAAAAAAAGTCTGTAAACAAATAGTCTGACATTAAATTTAAAAACAAACAAAAAAGGCCAATATTGGCAGACAACAGTTATGGGGCCAATATATTCAGCATCCATACTGTAAAACTTAAAAAAGGAAATTACAGACAATATTGGATGAACATAGTTTGGTATACAAGTAATGTATTAGTACAAGTGAAGGGCAGTACAAATGAAAGTCAGTTTTATGTGATTACTGACTGAATGAAAAATTCATGAAGACAACATTCACAAACCAAAACATGGCCAAAAGTGTATCCGATTCAATTAGAGTCAAAAAGCTGCAGTACCTCCACACAGCAGACAGATGGCGCTAAGAAGCCCCGTCTCTGCATCATCCATCTCCAGAGGCAGGAGCTGGTTGGCGAAAGCGAAAACCAGATCTGTCAGTGGACCAAAGCCGGCATTGTGCATCTGCGTGCGGTTCAGTGTCAGACCATCTGAAAACGTCATGGTGTCCTGATCCGGTGTGTAACGTGTACATATTCGCAGAATCTGTGGAAGAAAATGAAAGACAGATACGCTCTCAGCCTACACACTGCTACAAAAGTGATGCATCTATTCATGCACTATTTAGACAAAAGAACACATATGAGTGTCGTGCTCTCACCAGGATGTCGAGACAGGCGGCCTTTAACAGGGTGATCTGATCTGCGATAGTGAGCGTGGTGAAGCCCGGCAGCTGCTTGGCGAACTCCACCGTTTTAATAATGCATTTGGTGGAGAGTTCACTGAACTTGTCCCACAGGTTAACATCCAGAGAAACCCTGTGGTCTGCACTGTTGTTCTGTTTGAGGCCAGGACAGAGACAATGTTTGCATAGTTTGTGATTTATTTCCCCACAATTCCACAAGGATGTCACCGTTAAGAGCTTTGCCGCTGACTTACCGTGGTGTATTTGCCCAGCTGGCACAGGGAGGGGAAGGTTTCGTGATGGGCCTTCCTAACCCGCTCGATCATCTGCTCCGTATCAGGACTTAAGACGTAACTCTCCGAACACTCCTGCTTCTTCTCTTCCTTCTTCCTCTTGTTCCGGTCGTTCCGAACAGCTACAAGGACAGGAAGAAGAAAAAAAAAGAAAAAAAAAAAGTCCAACCATCTGATATACACACTCCACTGATGAGTTTTACCAGAAATATAAATAAGAAATAAATATCTAAATAATAAAAATATAAAACTAATAATATACACATGCCACAAGATGGCAGTAAACGTCCAGTGTATTTTTTTTTTTTGCTGCCTGATGAAAACAGCAGATCATACAGTTAAAACCTCTTTCAGATTCAGGTTCTTCTTGCGATTCAATCATTTTGGCAGCTAATACTTAAAAAAAACAAAAAAACACAATGAATGAAAGAGGAGGAGGCAGATTAAGTGGGAGACCCAGAGAACATACATATACATATATATATATATATATATATATATATATAGAGAGAGAGAGGGAACAAGGATATAGAAATACATTTCTTGCTGTATTTCCAGAGAGAAAAGAGCTGAATAAAAACCAAGTGCTTTGATGTGACAGTTCAAAAAGAGCTTTAGATAAGAGAGTCTCAATTGCTAAATAAGCACAAAAGGAGGGAAAATTCCAAGGAAGTGATTCTCTGAGGTCTTCACTTCTCTGTCTGTGACAATGGAAACATGTATACAGTGATATACCTGCCTTAAAAATACAGAGTAAAGTATACAATAATAGAAAAGTCATAGAAAAAACACATTGAATATTTAGAGGCATTATACATGCATCCAATATACAACTGTTTAGCAACAACACACTGGTAACTCACAGACGAGCTCATTATACAAACACACCAACGCAAGAAAAGTGTTTACAACAAGATTTCGAAAACGCCTTTTTCCTTTTGGCTTTGACGTCAATGTAAACATAAATGTGAACAATACACCAGAACACCATTAACAGTGTTTACATGCAGAGCGAAATCAGGATAACAGGACAAATTAGGTTTTGCATAAAACCAATAATGACCTTCCCCTGAAAAAGACAGTTTTAGGCATTGAGTACTATTCAAAAGTCAGCAAGAGTTTAAAGAAATGAACACTTATTCAGCAAGAACACAATACATTGATAAAACTGTAATGCCATTTATAATTTTTTTTTCAAAAGGTTTAAATTCAAATAAATGCTTTTGAACTTTCTAGTCAAAGAATCCTGAGAAAAACATTTATCACGCTTCCAAAAAATGTTAAGCAGCGCAACTGTTTTCAATATTAATAAGAAGAAATGTTTTTTAAGCAGAAAATCAGCATAATAGAATGATTTCTGAAGGATCATGTGACACTGAAGACTGGAGTAATGATGCTGAAAATTCAGCTTTACCATCACAGGAATAAATTACATTGTACAATATATTAAAGCGTATTTTAAAATGTAAAACTATTCCGCAGATTTATTGCTTTTACTGTATTTTTGATTAAATGCAGCCTTGGAGAGCATAAGAGAAACTTTTAAAACTTGTACGACCATGTTTTAAAATATCTTACTGACCTCAAACTTTTGAACAGCAGTTTTTGTGGTCTTACATGTTGTCAAGTTTTCAAAGATGAAGCGTCAGTTCAGCGCCACTTGCAACCAAAATCAGGACAATAATGCCACTGATAGGCCACAAATATAGTCCTGTGTCAATCTCATGCCATCAGCTGAATCCACATTGCTGCATAGAGCCAGTTGGGTTGCTGAAACAATCAATCTTTTGATAGTATCACAGTATTTACTCTTCAGGGAAATCTGTGAGGTATAAGTGGTTTACTTAAAGCTGTTTCTGCACATTAAACTGGGATGAGAAAATATAAATGACATTGAAGAATTGCAATCTTCACTGGTAAAAATAATCAATGTAAGATTGTGCATGTAAACGCTCTCATTGTGTTTCATCACACACACACGCACACACACGCGCACACACACACACACACACACACACACACACACACACACACACACACACACACACACGCTGATGGTGTGCAGTGTGCAGAGATGAGAAATGAATGTTGGTGGTTGTTAATAACTGTGACAAACGACCTCTGCTTTCACTAAAATCCAACCTAATCTAATCACGTCACATGACAAATATCAGCCCGCTTTAAAGAGCTTTAAACGGGCTCTCCCTCTGCGCCTGCATTCATCCCTCCTCCCTTTCTTCCCTCTCTCAGTCTCTGTTTTCCTGGAACCTCACAATCTCTCTTTTCTACTTCTCACAGCCTCAATCACTCCTTTATCTCATGTTTTCTTGCTGTTTTCGGGTAGGACTCCTTCCTTTGTCTAGAGATAACTCAATGGCTCTTCTTCTCCCTCCTCCACACGCACACTGAGGGAGCGAGCGAGAGGGGTGGTAAAGGATGATTCTCCCTCACTTCTCCCCACAGCCACATTTTCATTTCTCCAGAGGGAGCTGGGTGCCAGCGTGGGCTCCGAAACCACAATCTAATGGAGCCATTAAAGAACTATTAACACCGGGAGGTAATCTTTCACAACACGACATGTGCGAAAAGACGAAACCTGCTTGCAAACAACTTTATGATGACGAGAGTGCCATCATATCTGGGCGGAGAGAATGAAATATGTAAAATAACGAGATTTCATCTTGCTCTGGTAGAAAAAGCTAACTTCAGTTCAGTACAGCACAGAAAGAAAAGTGTACATACTTTCATGCTATTAACAGAACAAAAGTACATGGAAACCCATATTTATTCTTAAAAGCAAAAGCAACTAAATTAGGTCCTACTGCAACAGATACATCAGATAAAGCAATAATAAAGTGCTACTGTACGACTTGGAGAAAGCTATTAATAAAAAAAAAAGCTATTAATAAAAAATGTAGCTGATATTCATTATGATATTAATTTATTGTCTTAGCACAAATACACACAGACATTTCACAAACAATGTTCCCTCATACGCAGCTGCACACTTCTTATGTCGCGATCGCGCATAAGAATAATATGCCGCGCACAAGACAGACGCAAAAATGAGTTGGGAAAGCCATTTGATTGAATTCTAGTAAATGCGAAATAACTGCAGTGCTCGGGTAAACCACTATAGAGTTGGTGTCACTATAGAGTAATAAACGGTGAATGTGGTTTACAGGTTTCATAGAAAGAGAATGGTGATGTGTGCCAAATCAATCGCTGTAGAAATCGAATACTTCAAAGGTTGCGGACGAAATAGCTCAACACGAGAGGCAACGCAAAGTCATGTGAAATAAAATGTCATCATGCTCTAGTAAAGTAGTAACAAAACGGTAACAAAACTCACAAGACATTTACAGTTACACACTGGTGAAGTGTACAAACTCTACTACATGGGAATGTTTTAGATAACTAAAATGATTCACGTTCATGTTTTTTGAAAATATGTATTGAAAACAGTTTTTTATATTATTTTATTATAATAAAGAATTGAACCGTTCTGAGAATTTGTAAAATTATTTTTTATGGAATTTCTTGGTAAGTAACAGCACTGTAAAAATGGTAACCTAAAATGTGCATCATTTAGTTGCATCAAGGGTCAAATCAAATATAAATAGCACATTAAAGTTAAAAGTTACACACTTTTTTTTGTGCGTGCTGTACAGGTCTGGTATAAAGAATGTTTGGTCCCACTTCATATTAAGTGGCCCTAATACCTGTGTACTTACATAGTAACTAGATGTGTACATTAAGGGTGGAACGGTTCGCGGAAAAAAAATCGAACCATACGGTTCACCACACACGGTTCGGCACGTGCTAGGACCGCGGTTCAACTTAAATCTGACAACGCATCTGTAATATGGTTTCTTATAAATAACACATAAAAAAAAACAGGGTTCGGCTAATGTATGTTTCTGTTAATGGATGCGCATTCTGGCTTCCCAATACATTACAATAACAGCGATGAAAAAGAAAAAAAAAACGTGGACAAACGCGCGCAGTGAGAAGATTTGTGCGTGCGCTCATCCTCCCACTTTACATATCCCTAAACCTACCCATCTCCACCCTCTGGATCAAATGGTTCAAATTACTCTTATACATATTGTTGTTACAAAATGTAGTTATATAATTCCTGTTATACGAGTACTTAGAGAAGTGAAAAAAAAGTGTTGTTACCAATGTCCTGTTACACATTTGTACTTGCACAAACCATTCGGAGGGTTGTTACATGTGTGTAGTTACAGAAATATTACAGCTGTAGATACTATGTACCAATGTGTACTTACACTGTGGTTACACACTATGTATACATCTAGTTACTATGTAAGTACACAGGTATTAGGGCCACAATATAAAGTGGGAACGAATGTTTTTGCTCAGGTGGCCGAAATGTCCACCCAATAGAGAAAAGATTTGCTCAGCAAGAAAAATATTACAGGGAACATTGCTCACAAGACAGCAAACCTCCTCTTTTATATGCTTGTACACAAGCCTGTCACACAAACATGCTTTAACATCACTATGAAATGACAAAGACAATCACCAATGTGCTTTAAATAATGCTGGAAAATGTAATTTCACTGGTCATCCGTGCAGAGCACATCAGCACTCTGTCCAGTAGGTGGTGACAGCAGGATCAGAGAGACAAATGACTGACAAGAGGCCTTCCTAGCATAGTGTACTAAACATATGCTGTAGTATGCAGTTCTGGTTAAAAAAAAAAAAGATTGTACAAAATGGTATAGTAGCCATTTCAGTCTCTTATGCTCACCAAAGCTGCATTTATTTGATCATAAATACAGTGAAAGCAGTAATACTATTACAATATTACAGTGTTATTATGTAACTTACATTCTTTAGACATGCCTACTTCCAGGCACTTCTGCAGTCGGCAGTACTGGCAGCGGTTTCGGGTGACCTTGTTGATGATACAGCTCTTCTCTCTGTGACAGGTGTACAGCATGTTCTTCTGAATGCTCCTCCGGAAAAAGCCCTGAGGAGAAAAGCAAGCACAGAGGTTTACTATAGCTGGAGGTTTACAAATGACACACGCAAGCAAATTAACACCAGCCCCCAGAAGCCGGCAAAGACTGAGGTGGAACGGTTATATAAAGTCACTAATGATTCACCAGTTAATCATATATTCACATTATGCGCATCGTCACTACACACAAACACGCAAATAAACAACCATGGCATAGATGCAGCTCTCTCACACATACTCACACATCATTTCTTGGCATAATGGCCGACTGAGCTCGGTTTAGATTCAGCTGTATTATGGCTGCTGGGTATTATCTACCAGTTCTAGTGCCCAGAGGCTCCTATTTGCTAATAGCCAGTGGGGCTTAACCCACATAGGCTCGAGCGGAGGGTTACAAATGAGAGATTCACATTATTCTCCTGATCTTAATTACTGCTTGGTCAGACTCCCGAGGGCAGAGAGTCCGTCCGAGGTCACAAACGTACACGGCAAAAGCAGAAAAGATGCAGCAGAAGCCACATACGATCAGAGAGCAGATGTCAAACAGTGATTGCATAGGCTTGTGGAAGGGATTTCAGCTGCTGTGCTGCAACCACGGCTCTCTGGCTGAGGATTAAACTGTGAAAGCTTCACTCGTGACTGCCGCTGGGCACGTGGGTATCAGCGGCGCTCTGTGCAGGATTCACTGATTAGGTCAAGCAGGAACACATTACGTGGGTTCAATGCTTCAGTGTGAATACATTTAAGAAAAAAGATCTGGAGATACTCCTAAATATTGCAGATTTATACCTGACAAACAGGGTGAAAACATCTTATAAAACGGATTCTTCTGGACCTGATGTTGGATTGGATAGGCCACATTCACGTTATTAACAGGGATACATAATACTACAATGAGCTGATAATTATTAAACTATTAAAATATATGTGTGACAAATTTAAACTAATTTTTATTTAGTGTTTTTAACTGTAACCATACCATTGCACGGAAGTTCTAAGAGGCCAAGGATTATAATTTTTCTTGTTTTCTCATTATCACAACTTCATTTTCTTGTGATCTCGACATAAAATTTGTTCTCCAAGTTACAAAACTGCGTCATCAGGTGGCAGTATAGAGCTGTGTTCATATTGGCCCTGATTGACAGAGCGAAGACCTTACTTCTTTGTGATTGCTACTGTGAAGTATTGTTCGTTACCAACAATTAATTAACTTATAATTTGTAAATGCTTGAATCAATATGATTATTTTGCTTGAAAGTTCATCTGTCATTAGGTTACTACATGCATGACAATGGTAGACTCCCAGTTCATTATGTTTAAGATTAAAAAAATAAAAAATAAAATAAAAAAAACACTTTTATGATGTCGAGAGCTCATGAGAAATTTAAGTCGTGATAAGAAAATGTTTGGGCTTTCATACTATTATCCAAAGTAAAAAAAAAAATAAAATAAATAAATTTTAAATACTTAAAAAAAACCAAATGAAAAAACCATGCACTGTTATATCTTTTTATTGAATGAAGTTAACTTCATATCCAGTGAACAGTAAACAAATTAGCAAACCAAGTTAGCTAGCTTGTTCATTCGAGTTTAACTTCTGTTATTTTGCAATCTAATCAAATGTCTGTGGTATATGTGACAATCCATTCATTTTATTTTTTTTTGTCAAATCTATGTGATAGACTGGGCTTTATTTTACCATTTGTTGTGGGGTTTATTGAAATGTGCGCTAAAGTTATGTTAACAGTTATAATTATACCGTAATCATTTTATTATTCTGTCAGAGAGAACCTTTAAGATCATCTGTGTTGGTCTAATAAGATTATTTTGGTGTTACGGTGTGTAGGCTGATACCCACACAGTAAAATCAGCAGTGTAATATTTGCAGTTAAAAGTTATTAATTCCCAAAGAGTTGAATTAACAATCTACAGTGTTAAACAGTACTCATGTTCAGTGTTGTTATATGGTGTAATTTCACTTTTACACTAAAAGTGCGGAATGAAAAACCCGCCGAATTGTCTGGACTCCGCCCTTCAATGACTGCTGCCTCGCGAAGCGACGACGCCATTTTTTCTTCAAGCGACCGAGACGGTAAGTTGGATTGCTTTTCTCTTTATAAAAGTACACGGGAAAAACATTTTTGTTGATAATTTTACTCAAAATATGATTGGTGGTGAACACATTTAGAAATTACTAACTGCTCGTGTTTTTGTCAGGTTTAGTGTTAAGTTCGTGCTCGTGAGGTGGAGAGACGTACATTGTCTGGACTCCGCCCTTCAATGACTGCTGCCTCGCAATGCGACAACGCCATTTTTTCTTCAAGCAACAGAGACGGTAAGTTGGATTGTTTTTCTCTTTATAAAAGTACACGGGAAAAACATTTTTGCTCTAACAATTTCATTTTTGTGACGCATAACACCGAGGTGAAGTGTCTGTCTCGCCCGCTGCAAACGAGCAGTCTCTCTGCAGACAGAGCTGGCATAACGCGGAACATTTACCAGTCATTTGATTGACGTTATCTAATGCAAAACTCTGAAATTAGAGCGTGTTTAAAAACTAACATTCGCTATAAGCTTAAGTGTGAACTGCGTAATCTGTATGTTGCTTGTTCTCAGCGCTGAATATCATGTCTGTCATGTCGTCATATCTGTTGACAAGTTTTTCTTATGACAATTACGTTAATACAAGCATCGTGAAAGTGAGTTAAAGGTACGTTAAACTGTAAATCCGTCAGTCTTTCAATTTCCTTCAGTGCCCACTGGCAGAGCATGCAGGTACTTTAGCTTGAAACCAGTCTTTATCAATTCATATGGCATGCTATTTTGGGTTAAATAATGTCCTAAATATTTCTAGATATACAAAGTTTTAATGGAGAAATATGTCTGAATCTATCTGTATTTTCTTTTCACATTATAAAAAATAAATTAATAGTAAGATAAATTCTTAACACGTGTTTATTCTAATGTAGTACACTGTTCATTTTAAGATGCCTTATTACTCATGTTACTCATTAAAATTATACAAATGTATTTAATAATCAGATTAAATAAATACTTAAATTGTTTCAGGCCTCCATGTGAATATTGCACAATGTTTCATTAAAATAAGTTTACGATTTGACACCCGTATTATAGACAGTTCTCAGCATACTCAAAATTAGGGGTAATCACAATTACTTTACCATATTTACAGTCCTAATGTAAATTACTGAAATAAGTGTTTTTTTTTGTTTGTTTTTCAATAGAATTGGCCCAGACTTCTGCAGTGTCAAGAGAAGGAAGCTCCTCTCATAAGATTGCAAACTGGGAGTCTGATGACACTGAGTGTGAGTGATGGAAGCCCTTCAAGAAAGGAGCAGAATGCTGAAGATGAAGCCAGAATTGTGAGTCTGTGTCATTTATGTGTTATTCTATGTGCAGTACAAATTTAAAACACAAATGAATATGAAAATTTTTTAAGTTGAACTGGGCAGGCACACAATATCAGCTTTTTTTATTTTTTTTTCACATTTAAACATTGATCAGGGAACATAAACAGAAAAACAGAAAATTTGGACTAAACCACAATACGTATGGATTAGTTCTCTTTATGGATTAGATCTCTTTATGAAGTTTATGAAGTATCAAAGTGGTAGTTGCGTGGCCCGTCATTCAAGGGACAGAAATCTTGTATTCTAATATCTTCAATTGTGTTTCAAAGATAACAAAAGTCTTGGCTGAGTAAACTGATGACATTTTCATTTTTGAACTAAGCCTGTAATAAAAGAATGTGGCCATATGCGTCACCCAAGATGTGTGCTAATGCCAGGTGTGAACAGAGCCACTGTCTGACTACACAATCAACTTAGCAGAATTATTCCTGAGGTGGCTTACCCTCCTTGTGAAGATTGTCAATGATTGTCTTCTGGACAACTGTCAGATCAGCAGTCTTCCCCATGATTGTGTAGCCTAGTGAACCAAACTGAGATATTCTACATATTCTACATATATACATATTCTAATTTGTTGAGATAGTGAATTGGTGGGTTTTTGTTAAATGTGAGCCAAAATCATCACAATTAAAAGAACCAAAGACTTAAACTACTTCAGTCTGTGTGCACTGAATTTATTTAATACACGAGTTTCACAATTTGAGTTGAATTACTGAAATAAATGAACTTTTCCACGACATTCTAATTTATTGAGATGCACCTGTATATGAAAGACTAACATAAAATCAGTTGGAGAGTTGACCGTGAGTGTTATTTTCGTCTTTGATCTGCAGGCACCAACAAGAAGAACAGCTTGATTGCATAGAAGAGACCACACAGCCATACCTGCTCGCTGATGGGACAACGAGGAACATCATTCATGGATGCTACACAACTGTCAAATCTACCTGTCATATTTGTTCATGTCTAGGTGATTTTGTGTTTTATTAACTATTTTATGTTTCTGTGCAACACCTAATGAATGTGACTGATTAATTAACCTCTACACATCTGATATATGTTTTAAAGTTGCCACTTTGCCCATTTGTTAAATAAACGTTGAAATTTATACATCTGTCTGAAGACTCTTGATTTTATGTCTAATCTTGTACATTAACACCATACAATAGCATTTTTTTGTTTGCACTGAAAAGAATACTTTATTAATAACACTTAAAGGATTAAAACAACACCAGGGGTGTTAAATACCCCATAGTGTAAAATTTAAACAACAATAGCAAGTGTAACACTTTACACTCGGAGTGTACTTTTTCTACACTGTAAGGTGCTATATTAAAACTAAAAATTCAACACTACGAACGGTGTACTTTTAACACTAGACAGATTGGCACCATATATGATCTTTAGTAGTGTTAAAATCGACACTTGAAGTGTTAAATTGACACTGCGTTTTTTACTGTGCATATTTCATACCGTTTCATCCAGCAAAGCTTCATCACAGAACTTGTCTTCAACTTACAAAACCAAGAGAAAGCCAAATCTACCTGTCATATTTGTTCATGTCTGGGTAAATTTGAT